TTGAATTCGCAACTAAGAACTGTTATCGACACACTACCAAGCCGCCATTGACCTGACCTTAGAAGATAAATAAGAGAACAATTAGAAGGTTATGATAAAGGTAAATCTATATGAAATTGCAAATATAATAAGATTCATCACTTGTGGTGCAAAATGTTAAAGAAGTGGCATATGAACCTCAGAAGAAATAACAAGTACTACTGAGCAAAGGCTTTTGAGCGGTCACTAAAGTGATGGTATTTTTCTTTTACTGCTATAGATAGATAAACTTGTGTTATTCAAAAAAGTAATCTTAAATTGTAATTCAGCAACGATGTCTGTTGAATCTTAACCGCTTTAAAGACAACCTCCCTCACAAATTACCTGATTCAACGTCAATCCAAACAGCTTTAACTCTTCCAATTTTAGGTCCCTCAAAGGTGAAATCATCAACGGAACCTCTTTGGAAATGAAGCACATCATTTATATCCCCTGTTTTTGTAGAGTGGTCCATCATCAAACTTGCAGGTATCCTTTGCAATATTGAATTCCCGTCTTCATCTATCAAGCATAAAAGAACTCCAGCATTTAAGTTGCTTAAACCTGAGCCATATATGCTACTGGTACATAACTTGACCCTGAATAGAGACTTTGAGGTATCCTCCTTCAGAGACGAAGAGGCCCTTTCTATTAATGTGTTTGTGCTGACTTTCACCTCTGAGCCTGGCAGAAGACGAGAAGGCTTCACATAGCTCTGAAAATCGGCTGCAGGAACAACATAGCCCTTTCACACACTCATGATCTCAAGATCCAGTTAAGAATTTGTGCAATATAAAAGCACATTACCATGGCCGTATGGCCCAGGTCTAATCCGCATTCTAAATAAACCAAAAAGAAAGGAAAGAATGCTAATGACTGCATTTCCATTGATCTAGCTAACTCGATTAGCCATTTTCATTCCTTTACTATTTCTACTTCCTCTGATTGTAATTTAATTTCATCTGCTTATCTACATTACATACATTCCCGGGATTCTACTAGGATGCTTGTATTTTAATCGTTTTATTGATATAACTTGGTTGTTTATTAACAAATAAAACGAAATGCACAAATCTTAAACTCTACCGCAGAATCCACAGGAAAAAAATGCGCAGCCAAGATGGAAGACTGTTAACAGAGTTAACTTTGATCGATTATAGAAACATGGTAACAGGTGTTAAGTATAAAACAGGAAGACAATAGTCCCAATACTATATAGCAGCAAAAATCTATGTAATTGATTAGTTATATCATCGGCCAGACCAGCCATAAGAAGCGGCTTGCCATCAGAAGCCAGTAAAATCCAAGCGTTTTCTGACACGAATGACTTGTAAAGTAGCCAACGTAAAACACAAGCTACTCAGGTCCGCATGTTAAAATGTTTGAGTTAAACAAGCATGTTGATCTACAAAATCAATTCATTATAGGATTGATCAACATGGTAGCATAACGTCAACAAATGATGTCAACCATGTTAGCCTTATTGCTTGGTACGGAAACTGCGGTAACGCATTTCAGAAATCCGAGGCTACAGTCAACAACAAGTGTCATCAATATTCAAATCAGGAAGCATTCAAGGAAACTCATCATTAATCAATAAACTTGGGAGCTAACGATAACCAAATCCAAGGTGACCATGGCAAGTTTCTGATAAAAAGGGCTGTAACAAATTCCGTCTGTCGGGTCAAACCCCAACAGACAACGAAAATAGCTTTCGAGCGCAGTGAACATGTGGAAAGAATTGTTTTTTAAACAAAAAGTTGTAAAAGTAAACTAGTGTACCCTGGAAAAAAGATTGTTTGGCGCGAACTGTAAAGCCGAAGGGGGTAATCCGAGTGCGAATTCTTGGCGGATGAAAAGGCGAGAGGAAGAGTTTTCGAGAAGCGAAGCTCGGAAGAGGAATTGCTTCCATAGCTGTAAGCCTCGGGACCCCCGAGTGCCGACGGTCGGTTCGAGGTTCAACAAGCAAACAAGCCACGGGCCCCGGTCCAAGACAGTGCAAGGGAATCAGGGAAGCCAGATACTTCTGGGCATGTCTCCCCAAGGGCACGAACTTGGGGGATCTCGCAAATTTTAAATATCCCCGCAAGATTAGATTTTTCTTTGCTTTTTGTTTTGGGCTTGGGTCAACTTTCACCTGTATTAATGACAAGATCCAACCCAAAGGCCTTGCTTTTTTAAAAAAATGGTTCCACTGGGGGAGGCTCCAACGTTTATATGCCTTTTTTTTTAATTATTAGTCCCGCACAAAATATAATAACATAGCGAGGATAACATTATATAGGGTGGTTACTAATTTACTGTTTTATTTCAAGAAACAGAAAAACAAAAAAGATTGCATACCTGAATTTTTGTTGGGATAGGTCAATTGATAAGGTATGAGACAGTATAATCGGATGCTGGGCTTAGTAAACAGCTTTATCTAATTAATACTATATTTGGTTCTTAATATAAGAGTTCATTTAACTTTTATTTTGATTTTAAATATAAGACTCTAATCCATTTTCTCCTTCATGTTTATTTTTTTAAAACAATTCTTGTAATAATAATAGTTCTAACAAATACACTTGATTAACAACGATATTTTAAGAAAAACAATACGTATTTATTATCAATAACTAATTTACCTAATTTTTTTAATTTACTCAAATTAGTTAATTAGTTCTTATATTAAGGACCAGAGGTAATAAATTATTTTAATGGTACTTTTTAAAATTTTAAAGAGCATTAAGTAATTACAATGAATTTGTTTATATATGTAAATTAGTTTATAGGTTTGTTGCCATAAATAAGAGGGGGTGGGCATGAGATTGCGTTTTTTGGGGTGGGGGGGGGGGAGCAAAAGCAAGGTTGTGATATTGAGATGTGCTTATAAGGATAACCTCCTCCGTCTTGTTTTTGTTTTTTCCCAACCGAACCAACACATCTAATTATACATCACATCTATACATTGACATAAAGGATTTAATTTAATCTTACACTTAAAAAGTAGATTTAAAAAAATATTTAGTGCCATTAAACACAACGCCGCTAATACTCTTATTCAAAGATATCGATTCTCCTCAATCCATGGCATGTAGAGTATTAAAAAAGGATAATTATTAAGAAGCCCAAAAAAATTATCAAAAAACCCTAATCACAAGTGATCAGTTTACTATTCTCTGCTCTAAAATTTGTCATTATTTACTCTTCACTTATTAATAGATTTTAAGATAATTAAATTTATTTATTGAGCCCTGATTGTAATCCTCCCTAATAAAAAAGTTTAAAAAAAAAAATCTGTAAACTTTGAGAGATTCATGCGATCTTGCAGATTCAACGTCCCATCGTCTACCTTAGGCCAACGCCTAACGACCACCAACTAGCCTTTAGTCGCTTTTTTCGGGTAAATCACATCACTTTTTTTATTTGACTCATTTACCCCCCAAAAATCACAGAATATTCTACAAAATACATTTAGTTGTTAGTTTATCTTCCTTTCAAATCTTCCATTATAATTATAAAAGTAAATAGCATTTAACATCTTAATATTATTTTTTAGTTATATTTAACACTTTAATTTTATTTACTGTTTAGCGTGTTGGATACATATTAAATAAAATCAAAATATTGAAACCATAAAAAAATAATATCAGGAAATTACATTATAAATAAAATTATGATGTTAAATAGGATTAAAAAATAACATCAAGATCGCGAATGCTATTTTGTCCTCGTCATAATACTTATCAGCACTGGGAATGCCGAATATTAATTTTGATCACAATAGTATGATTTAAGGACACTTCAAAAAAGACATCATTTGCTCTCGAAATAAATGAAAAAGAAAAGAGACTCAGAGTGTGCTTGGATTAGTAGTAGAGAAGTAATTTTTTTTTTCAATCTGATTTTTGCATAAGTCAGATTGGATAAAAGTAACTTTTTTAAGCTTATTGTATAAATCCGTTTCAGTGACAGACGTCAGATTGCAAAAATGTGATTCCAAACACATCCCAAATTAAAAAAACTCCTTTTGCCGGTAGAAAAGTCAGTTTAAAGGTTCAGATGTGATTCCAAACACACCCTCATTGGACAGTGAGTACCTAATACTATCTAGGGATAGGGGCGGGCGAACTGGGGAAAAGATTCAAAAGAACCGGAGAAAATTACAATAAGATCCTATCAAAGATAATTAAAAGTATAAAGGTTTTTTGAAATCATCAAATTATTATGAAGTTTTAAGAAATCTCATTGTAAAAAATTTTATTTATTTAATTATTTAATTATTTTTTAAAATACGTATTGATAACTAAAAGTGCAATAGTTAACAATTTAAGATATAACGATTAACAACTATCGTGGTAGATATTGATAACTTGTGCATTATATTTTTGTGATGTGATGAGAAAATATATTATAAATACCGTTGTTAATCGTTATATATTAAGTTGTTAATCTGCTCTTTTAATTGTCAATATATATTTTAAAAAATAATTTAGTAATTAAATAAATAAAACCTCCTGTAAATTTCTTCGGGTTTTAAAATAATTTGATAATTTAAAAAAAAAATTATATTTATTTTGATCGCTTTTGCCTTTTGGAATCTCAGTCTCAGCTCGCGACGGTGACGTCGACAACGACGCTACTATCTCCTCACTTCTTACTCGAGTCTCTTTTCTTTTTGGAACGAGAATAATTACTCGAATCTTTCATGTCACAGTTTAACCCGAATTCCGATTCCCAGTAACAAGTCAGGAAAGGAATGCGTCAAATTTATGGAGGGACGATCCTTGACTTTGATTTGTCACTCATCACACGACATTAATAGGCATTGCGTGATTAACCTTTCAGTCTCCTTATCTACAAATCACAATGATACGCATGCAGCTGAACTGAGTATTATTCGCACTAGGAGCCATGAGTTTCAGCGGCCACTTCGATATGTACGGGCGAGGGCATCCGTAAAGCCGCACCATCCATCCTAGTTCACAACAACTTGGACTCTTCCCTGTCACTTGGCTTGGAATTCAAGCATTACATGAATGCCTGATAGGTATTTGTGATGTGGACGCAAAGAGCACCAGTGCCTGTGCTTGCAAGCAATTGACTTTGTCCCTAATTATTGGAATCCTCCCCCTCTTGGAATCAACAAATTCAAAGACCCTCCAGATCCAGATTCCAAACCAATCACCCATACACAACTCCCTCATGGAGGATTCCCAGCAACAACACCTTCTCGAGCCGAACGAAGGACCCGAAGCCGTTACCGTCCTCAATTCACCAAAGAAGCTAGCTCTCCTTCCTCTTGTCTTTCTCATCTATTTCGAGGTCTCTGGCGGTCCGTATGGTGAAGAGGCCGCCGTGAAGGCTGCTGGGCCGCTCCTGGCCATTCTTGGCTTCCTCATCTTCCCCTTCATCTGGAGCATCCCGGAGGCTCTTGTCACTGCGGAGCTGGCCACTGCCTTCCCCGGCAATGGAGGGTTCGTCATCTGGGTCAATAAAGCCTTTGGGCCTTTCTGGGGCTCTCTCATGGGCTTCTGGAAGTTCTTTAGTGCGGTCATAAACTTGGCTTCGTATCCTGTTCTCTGTATAGACTATGTCAAGCTGGTGATTCCTTCTTTGTCTTCTGGCTTACCTCGCTACCTGTCCATATTTTTCTCCACTGTTGTTCTGTCTTTTCTGAATTATACTGGTCTAACTATAGTGGGTTATACTGCTGTGGCTCTAGGAGTTGTTTCTCTGATGCCGTTTGTATTGCTGTCCTTGATTTCAATTCCCAAAATTGATCCCAGCCGATGGTTGAGTTTGGGTCAGGCGGGTGTGAAGAAGAATTGGACTTTGTACCTCAACACCCTGTTTTGGAATTTGAACTTTTGGGACAGTGCTAGTACTATGGCCGGTGAAATTGAGAAACCGCAGAAAACATTCCCAAAGGCCTTGTTATCTTCCGGGTTGCTTACATGTTTAGGTTATATAATTCCTTTGCTTGCTGCTACAGGAGCCATACCACTTGATCAGGAAAAATGGGTTGATGGGTATTTTGCAGATGTGGCCGAGATGGTTGCTGGAGGGTGGTTGAAAGTCTGGATGGAAATTGGGGCTGTTCTGTCCATTGTTGGGCTATATGAAGCTCAATTGAGCAGCGCAGCATACCAGGTTCTGGGTATGGCAGATTTAGGATTTCTACCTCGAATTTTCGGAGAAAGAGCAAAGTGGTTCAATACTCCCTGGATGGCCATTTTGGCAGCAACAGTAATAGCGCTCGCAATGTCTAACCTGAGTTTCACGGCCATCATATCTACAGGTAATTTCTTGTACAGTTTGGGGATGCTTTTGGAGTATGCATCTTATCTTAAGCTGAGAAGGAAGTTCCGGTCACTGAAAAGGCCATTTGAGGTTCCAATGGGATTCCCATGTCTGGTCATCATGTGCTTGGTGCCATCTGTGCTTCTGTTAGTTGTGATGGCTGTTGCTAGCAAAGTTGTGTACGTGGTCAGTGCTTTCCTGACTTCTTTCGGCATTGTGTTATATTATTTTCTGAATCTCTGCAAGGCCAAGAACTGGATTCAATTCATGAATTCAGTAGACGCGATGGAAGATGTGGACGGCCATAATTTATAGACGCTGGGGATTGTTTGAGCTCTATATTATGTCGTGATTGTGTATATAATAGTAATTGATGATGTGGGAAAGTTAAGAAGTTTCTGCTGAAGAAACTGGTTGGTTCTTATGAATTCTTTATTATCTGAGGTTAAAATTATGATGCAGGAAGTGATGTAAAATGGTCTTTAGATCGATGTATCCCTTATCTTCTTTATTGAATGGAAGCATGTATTCATAAAGCATACGTCACTGCCTATACCACTCATGAAAAGACAGAGAACGAAATACTCACAGGTGTCAGGCACCAATTCATCAAATCACGGCGCACACAACTACCCTTTTTTTTTAATTATTTGTTTATTATTACTTTTCTGGAGTTAATGGCACCAGAATATAAAGGAAAGTTTAAACCAATGATTAAAGAACTGGATCGGACCGGACAATCCGATCAGTTGAATTGTTAACTGGATTCATTAACAACTCGGTTTAGACTAAAAAATCGTTCATATGGTTGGACCGGATTAGATTAGAGTTAAACCGTCATTAAGTCGGGACCCAGAGTTGGACTAAGAATCGAAAGGGTTTTTAGAAAATTGGGTGGTTTTTTAGCCTGACTAAAAAAAAAAGTATTAAAAATTTAAAAAAATAGAAGAAAAATAAAAAAAAAATGACTCCCCTTGAATATCCTAATATATTTTTAAACTATTTATAATCATATAGTATTATTTCATTGAAAATTTCATATATTGTGATGTTAAAACTATGAGTCACTAGCTTTTTTGTTTTGATGTCTGGTCTAGCTTTTAAAATAATGTTTTGATTCGAATGAATTAATAATTTTTAATATTATTGAATATTTTAAACATAGATAAATTTAAATATATAAGGTTTTAGTCTATTTTTAATGATTTCTATATAATTTTAGACTATTTAAATGTATTTCTAAATTATTTAATAATTTGATATTTTTCATATATATTAATTACATGTACATAATATTGCTTTAAATTAATTATTATGTTACCGGTTTGATCGGACGGTCCGATCAATTAAACAATAACCCGTTAATCTTTCTAGTTTGGCTTCCGGTCTGGCTTGGCCGAAGCACATAGGATGGGAGGCGTGAGGATCTTGAACTGTGGCATTTAATTAGTTACAGGTTGACTTTGATTAGGGGTAATACATGCGATATGGGGAACAGGAAGAGAGACGCTGGTGGGCGGTGGCTTGCAAGCGCAGAGTTGTGGGGTGAGTGATAAGTAGGAATGGGATAGCATGCCCATTTGGGCCGAACACGCAAATGGCCACATCACAGCACGGCCGACCCATTGTGAGTATGGGAGTAGGGCCACTACGAGGGCAAAAGAAAGAAATTGGCATGGGTAGAATAATACATGTCCAACAGGGAAAGTAGCAAAGCTAGGGCTTTTCCATCCGGGGCAATTTGGAAAAAGTGGAGAAACTTAAAATGAGTTGAGATGAAGACAGTAACAATTACATGAGAGAGGTTGAGCCGCGTGTGATGATGAATGCGTGATTGAAATCATACGCCGAATCGGGATAACTGTCCGTATCTGAATAAATATCTGATAAATTTTTTTCTCAGGAATTTTGATAGACCTGGGTACAGTCTCCGGTTAAGATTCTTTAATTTTTCATTAAAAAAATAATTTGACGTTTTCACGCCGAAACATGATTTCCTGTGAGGACGTTCAATACAAACACTAGTTATTGAGATCAAATGTTTTTGTATTTTGAGTTTTTAACCAATTTCCCTTGTTTTGGAAAAAATAATAAAAAGAGAGTAAAATGGTTGAGAAGTGAAATGTTAGCGATAAGGGAATTAGGAGGATAAGCGAAGCGTGGCAGTGGATAAGTAGAGAGGATAAGGAGAAGGCATTATGAAGGCAACAAGTTGACAGTAAAAAGCGTGCAACAAGCTGGGAAACACACACATGCTGCGCATGCATGATGTTTCATATTCTGCTGTTGGAATGGAAATTTCCCAGTGCCGTGCTCACACACATAAGCTGCTGTTTCTTTCAAACTCAAAGTTGCATCCTTGACTTTCCTGTCCAAACCACGCATCGCAACCTTTTGAAGAGACACCAGCAGGTAACTCATCATGGCTTATGGGGCCGCCCTCCTTACATGGAACCGAGTCACGTGCTATCATTTGTTTTGCGTATGACCATTTGGTTTGCGTCTCGTTTCTTCAAGGAATCTTGCTTTCCTCCATGCCTGTCACTGTTTTAACCCAAACATCACTCTTCTAAACCTTCTCTTATATTTCCCATCGCTTTTTTCTTCTTTAACTTCTTTATTCATCCGTGCTTCCTACTAAGGCAATTCTTCTTCCCTGAATTGTTCTCCAAACCATTCAACGGTTCAAAAAGGAACTTCGGATTCAAGCCCCAACCTTACACCTTACATATAGTAGTATGTATCATAGGAAAGTTGAAATAAGCACTTTGGAAATATTTTTTTTGGCAGCGTACGTCTAAAATTACGCACTGTTATTTTCACTGGGAATGAACTTTTCCTGTTGCATGTGGGCATTGTTCGCACTGACGCGACGCGAAAGAAAAAGGGGCATCAGAATTTGCGGTCCCATGGTTGTGGTTACAGTGTGAGGGTAATCTGGTCGGCCCCCGCTTGCGTTTTAAAAAGTGAGAATATATATATTTAAACAAAAAGCCAAAAAAAAAAAAAAACCGATGCGAAAACAAAAGGCAAGCCGCGACAAGATGGGAAACTCCATAATCATTGCGTCTTGTGCCCGCCTTTGTTTCTTTTCATCATTTGACGGGTTTAATACTATTTTTAGCTTTTAATTTTAGTTTCTCAGTATAATTTGTTTAAGATTTTTAGCGTCTATAACAGTATTTTTTTTTTTATGGAATCAGATTTGCAGAACCAGAGCTACTGATATTAGATTTTAAAAATAAAAATGAAGTCAAATTTTATTTAGAAAAAATTATAAATAAAAACCGTCTAATATGTAAAATTACAATTTGAGACTCTCAAATTTTAGACTCAATTCGATATTGTAAATATGAAATTTTGGTGTAATGCCTGAAATGCCCATAAGTTAAATTATGATTTAGTCTATTGAAGTTGTCATTTACTAAAATGAATTTGTCGTTTCCCGTAATCAACTTATCATTTGACATACCCTCGGTCAAGTTATGATTTGGTCTAATGAAATTGTCATTCGTTAAAATGAACTTGTCATTTTTCATAGTCAACTTGTTATTTGATTGAGGGACATTTCACCGACATTATATATTTGTAATTTAGAACCGGCTCTTTTGAAACTATTTTTTAAATTTAGAATCCTAAATTGTAATTTTATACATTGAGAGGTTTTTATTTATAATTTTTTATTTATTTATCTCAATTTGGGTTTGCCATCTCTTGTTTAGGCCGTCCTTGGCTTCGCTGATCGCCCTTCGGTCTTCACTCCTTCATATCGGCTGCACACTACACTCACTTGTACTCAGAGCTTCTATCCACTAATATGTTAACACTTGTCTATAATTCCCCCCAACAGTATAGCACGTGTGCTATACTTATTTATTGATGTTGGTATTAAATGTAAGATATGGTTTTCATATTTATTAATTTTTTCTAAGTAACTCCTATTAATACTCTTACAATTATAATCAAATAGAAGAGTGAGAAGAATATTAAAAAAATAATTATGATATTTTAAGATAAACATGTTATTTTTTTACAATTAACTAATTTATTTAATTTTTAATCTAATTAAATCAGTTAAATATGATAAAAAGAGCACAGTTTAATTTGTAAGAGTAAACTAGGGGGTAGGATCAAAATCTCATGAGATAACCATGACCTCGTCAGCTGTAACCTCTAGCCTCAATGATGGGTTCCACTGTTGCAGCGCTCACCCGTCCCCATACATTCTTAAATTGTCCCTCTTTTTTTTTTTTGAGTAAAAGGGGGAAATATATTAAAGCAAATAATTACAAAGACAAGGTCAATTAGGCAGTAGAGTTTATAGAATTAAGTTGCTCTTCTGCCTTAATGACGTACTGGGTTAAGCTTTGAGAAGAGTAAATAATAGAATCAGGGGTTGAGGGATCATTACAAAAAATGGTTCTATTCCTATTATCCCAAAGTTTCCAAATTAGGATCCCGAAGAAGATCCTCCAATGAGTGCTCGTTAGGTGTGGGCCAAGGTTCCTAGCTAACCAGTCTTTGAGGGGAAGCTGGAAGAAAGCTTGCCGCCGTTGGTGTGGTATAATTGAGAGCCAGCAGTTGTAAGCAGTGGGGCACCAACGAAGAATATGGTCTACATCTTCCATCTCGGTGTGACAAATTTCACAGGTACCCTGTTCAGTCATGCCTCTTCGCATCCTTTCAGAATTTGTGAGAAGGCGTTGCCTCATTGTAAGCCAAAGAAAAGTCCTGACTCGTTGCATTCCTGGCCATTTCCAGGCCCAATTCCATGATGGGCTGTGGTCATTCCAGGATGAGTCTTGGGTGCTCTGATAGGCAGATCTAACAGAGAATTTTCCATTTGGATTGGCAGTCCAATAACAAACGTCGGGGGGAGAGGATACACTTGGAGGTGGTATCGCAGCTATATGAGAAAGTACGTTGGCAGGAAGAAGATGTTGGAATCGGTCCCAATGCCATTCTCCTCTGTCATTAAGAAACTCACTAATTGGCTTGCTGAGCTGGCTTTGTTCGATGTCAGCAAACGTTAGGAGTTTTAAAGGTCCCAAGTCATTTACCCAGTTATCCGACCAGAATCTGGTAGTATTTCCATTCCCTATTTTCCAAGCTATGTTGAGCTCAGTGTCCTTCCAAACACGTGCAATGCTGCGCCAAGTATGGGATGCTATGCGAGTTTTGAACTCATAATTGCTTTCCTTCGACCATTTGTATTTTGCTCTTAAGATTTGAACCCAGAGTTGATGAGGTTGGTGAATGAGGCTAAACGCGAGTTTGGAAAGGAAAGCTCGGTTTTGACCTTGAAGAGTTTTGAGTCCACTGCCTCCTCTTTGGGTAGGTTGACACATGTCTCGCCAGCTAACTAAGCTTGTTTTGCGCGTGTTTTCGTCTGACCCCCATATAAATCTGCGGATTATACGTTCAATGGCTTTTGTGCATGACACCGGGAGAGCTGAAGTTTGCATTGTGTAGTAGGGTAGAGCGCTGAGAACTGATTTAGCCAAGGTAACACGGCCTGCTAGTGAGAGAGTTTTGGCTTTCCAGGTGGTGAGCCGCTGTTGGACTTTCTCAATGAGGTAATTGTAAGTGTCTTTAGAGACTCTTGAATGAAGTAGGGGAACACCAAGATATTTCCCTAGTTGTTCAGTCCTTTGGTAGCCTAGGAAGTTGCAAATTCGTTGAGCTTCAGGCCTGGCTACGTTTTTTGAGAAATGAATTCTTGTTTTAGCTTGGCTGACAACTTGGCCTGAGGCCGAGCAGAAGTTTGCAAGGATACCCTGTATGAGGGATAGTTGCTGTTGTGAAGTAGTGCTGAACAGAATTAAGTCGTTAGCGAAGAAGAGGTATGACAGAGGGGGTCCGTGCCTGCCAAGCTTGATACTTTCCCATCTGTTTTGTTGAACTTCATAGGTAATGGCTTGAGATAGTCTCTCCATACAAAGAACAAAGATGTAGGGAGAGAGGGGGTCTCCTTGCCTTATACCTCTAGTAGGGGCGAAGGGTTGCGAAGGTTGACCATTCCATAGGATCTGCATGGTCGGAGTGGAGATGCAGTGCATGATTAGTTTAACCAGCTTGTCTGGCAGTCCTGCGTCAATAAGGGTGTCTTCAATGAAAGCCCAATCAAGCTTATCAAAGGCTTTCTCAAGATCTACTTTGATTGCTAGCCATCCCTTTCGCCCTTGTTTGTGTCGCATCGAGTGGATCACCTCTTGGGAAATGATGATGTTATCAGTTATACTTCTGCCTTGAATGAAGCTAGATTGCTGTGGAAGGGTAAGCAGTGGCATCAGGGGTTTCAATCTATTGGCCACTAGCTTAGTCATGATTTTGTAAGCCACTGAGCATAAGCTGATGGGTCGGAAATCTTTTACAGTGGTGGGCCTTTCTAACTTTGGGATTAAAGTAATCAGAGTATTGTTGAGACCTTCATCAAGGGGTTGACCTGCTAGTAAAGAGTTTGCCATTTTCCACAGAGACAGTCCTACAATATCCCATTGGCTTTGGAAGAAAAGCGCGTGAAGGCCATCGGGTCCTGGGGCTTTGAGCGGTTTCATATCGAAGAGGGCTTGTTTTACTTCAGCCAGGGAAAAATCTGCATTCAGTAATTCTAAGGATGTAACAGGAAGGAGGGGAATTTACCTCGCAGATGGAAGGTGGTATTTGGCTGGTCTGGACGCGAATAGAGCTCCACAAAGTAATTCCTAGTCATTTGTTGTAGGAGTGAGTCGTCTGAAACCCAGGAGCCATTTGAGTCTTTCAGTGCAGTGATTCTATTTCGGGCTTTCCTGATTTTAGCTTTGGCATGGTAATATGAAGTGTTGCGATCACCCAGATTTATCCAAAGAGCTCTGGATTTTTGGATCCATAGTAGTTCTTGTTGAAAGCAAATTGTCTCATAAGCTTCCGTGAGTTCTCTGTTGAGTTTGATCAAGAAAGCAGAGTGGGGTTTTGATTCGAGGGCCTTCTGTAGTCCAGCTAGTCGGGCTGTCAATCGTCTCTTCCTGATGCCAATCTCGCCAAAAGTGTCACGATTCCATGAGGCAGCACTGTGTCTAAAGGCTTGAATGTTATTTGACAGAGAATTTTCATCTTTCCAGGTGTCTTCGACTAAGCCTTTGAATTCAGTGTGTGTTAACCAGGCCGCTAAGAATTTGAATGAAGCTGTGGGTCTGGTCTGGAACTGTGGTGATTGCAAATGTAGCTTTAGTGGTCTGTGGTCTGATTGAAGTTTTGGGAGGTGTGTTACGGTAGACGTGGTGAATGAAGTGACCCACTCTGTGTTAACCAGAACTCGATCCAATCTTGCAAAGGAAAGCCCACGGCGCCAGGTGAACTTGGGCCCAGAGTATCCTAGGTCCACTAAAGAGTTGTCATTTACGAACGCTTGGAATTTAGAGCACCCAAGTGTGTTCCTACCGGAGGTAGTTCTCCTCTCAGAGGAAGCTAAGACCGCGTTAAAGTCACCAGCCAGGGCCCAGGGTCCCTCGACCGACGGAGCTAGTGACATTAGGACCGGCCAGAGGTGTGCTCTAATGGTGGAGTTTGGGCTACCATATATTGCTGAGAAGTAGAATTCCTGGTTGGACTGGGTATCTCGGACTTTTGTATGGATGAATTGCCAGTGACTATGGATAATTTGCAATGACATTCGATCTGACCAGAGTAGCCATATTCCTCCGGAGAAGCCACACGCTTCAACCCGGTGTGAGTTGGGGAAGCCAAAGGATCTGATAATGCGATCCACAGGTGGACCAGAAACTCGGGGTTCAATCAGAACCAAGACGTCGGGCTTGTGTTCAGCAATGAAGGATTTAAGCACAGAGTGAAATTTACTCTTTGCCGCACCTTGACAATTCCATATGAGTGTATTCATGGGGAGACGAGTGAGATTAGCACTCCATGTTGGAGTGTTTTTGGGATTCGTCGTCACTGAATGAATCATCAGAGAGTTCATTATCGGAGAGCTGATCGCCTAAAGCTTTGGTGATCGCTTTAAGTGCTGTATCTGCAAGGGTGGGCGGGTTTTCTTTGGATTTGGGCTTGGGGGATCCAATTGATAGTCCTGGGTGGATTTTGAGGCCCAGTTTGGGAGAGGTTCTGTCCGGCGGCTTAGGTAGAATATTCTCCTTGTTTTTTCCCGGGTGGTGGGTTGTTTTAGGCGTGGGTCCTGGTGAGCCAAGAGTCTTGGGGTTGGTTGGGGATTTGGAAGGGGGTTTAGGGTTCAAGATGGTGACAGCAGTGTGGCGGGAGTTGTCAAGCGCTGTAGACGAGGATGACTCCTTATAGGCTTTGCTTGTGAAAAGGGATTCATTGGAGGGGTTCGAGGTGTGCTTTTTTTGAGTCCTGGGAGAAATGGTTGCATTTTTTGGTTTAGTTTCTTTGGGGAGTCTGGGGTGAGTATCAGGGTGGGAGTCTGTTGAAACTGGCAAGGAGTTGACGTTTTCGGTGGTTGGCTCAATGCAGTCAGAGTTGTTTCTGTGTAAGTCCTCCGTTTCTCTTAGCAGGTCAAATCTCGTCCCTGTGTTAACATTTTTAAGGTAGCCTGTGTCAGGCTGCTTTTTCATCTCTCTTGCTGGGCGACGTCGTGAGGATGGAACTTGCATCCACGCGCCGTACGGATTCGTCTCTTCTACTTCGTCAGCCACCGGAGATCTCATGACCGGAACTTGGTTTGTCTTTGGGTGGTTCGCAGCGGTATCCTCAGTCATCTGGTCTTGGTTTTTCTGAGGGCAAGTGTCAGTGAGATGCCCGTATCTTCCGCAGTGGTAACATATCGTGGGTAGGCCCTCGTATTCTACGAATAGGCTTTTCCCATCCACCGTGATCTTCGACATCAGGGGGGTGGATAAGTCCAAGATGATTGCCATCCTGGCAAACTTACCTCGTTCTCCAGAGACTGTGTTATAATCTATCCTTATAACCTGCCCGAGGATTTCTCCGATGGCCCTTATGATGTTCTTTTTGTAGTACTTAGTGGGGAGACCAGGGATACGTATCCAAGCTACCACCTGAGAGATGCTGTGGTGAAGTGGCGAGAACTCCGGTGTCCAGGGGTGGACTGTGAGGTAGTGTCCTGTGATGACCCAGGGTCCGTCGGTGAGGGCCTTGTGGTAATCTTCAGCATTGGTGAAGGTTGTTGTAAAGCAACCTCCCTCTAAGTCAGACAACTTGAAGTAGTTGGCAAATCTCCACAAGCGTAGCAGATTGTCACGGAGTCGTTGGTAACCGATAGGCCTACCAAGGAGCTTGAGTACCACAGTGTACCGCATGCTCTCGTCAAGAATCTTATGTACTCGTGGTGAGAAGGCGATGGCTGGGAAGATCCCCTTCTTGTCGACGTATACGTCTCCTTCCTCAAGGATGAATTCATCTTCAGGGGTGGAGTCCGGTGTCTTGTTCAGCAACTTGTCTCGGAAGGAAGGTTTCTCACCTCGCTCACTGGATTCTGCTGGTTCGTGCTCAACAAGCATTGTCGTTTCATCTGGCCCGTTGGTCAGGCAGTTCTCTTCTCCGGCAGAAGGGCCATGGTCTTCAGTGATCATCGCGACGTCATCTTCTCCTTCGCGTTGGGACTGTCTTATCTTGACTTTCTTAGTAGATCGGTTGTCGTCGGGGTGGGGAGGGGAGCTTTCCTTCTCCGAGAGCTGAAGGGGGAGAGAGCGCTCCATTAAATTGTCCCTCTTTTATCTCATAGCCATACATTATCATTTCAGGGGTGTTTGGCATTCTCAAGGTCACAGTTTCAGAAGCACTTTTTATAAAACGAGGTAATTTTCTCTACATATTTACTTCAGAATTCGTAAAAACGTTTCTGAAACCATGGTTTGGTTTCTATCCAAACACCCTCTTCTCATGCTTTCTTCATCTACACTAACATCACATTCAATAGCAGTGCTCGCCAGCGTGTTATGGGGCACCCTTCAACCTCCCCCCCCCAAATAAAAAAAGCATTGGCAGGCAGCATATTAGTCAGTGGAATTTTTTTCTTAAAAATCCAAATAAAAACGTCGAAAATACAAAAAAAGTTCATTTTTTTTAAAAAATAGTTATTTGTATTTATGTTGCTCAATTCTCTAATTAAAACATGGTGATCATTCTATCCTTCCTTAACAATATATATAATTTTGTAAGAAATTAAAATTTTCAATAAAAAACATATATGCACATGCATGGTGTTTTGATGGGGACTTCAAAGATGAAAATATCGGAGACAAACGAGGGCGATGCATTATTTTTGTTAAGTGAGGTCAATCCACTTCGGTCCCACGTGTCAGTCCCACGTCCGTCCAGATCAACTCGGTCCCCTCCTCACTCTTCACCACACGCATGCTATTCCTATCCGCTTTCACTCTCCGGCCCCAGTGCAGGGGCGCCCAGTCATCGCAGGAGGCCGAAACACAATAAAATCTAACCTGAGAGAACATCCCACACCCTAATCTTATCATACAGTGTTGTTAAGAAAATGAAGCCGTTCATAAAATTTTTCATGATAAGAAAACCAAGCCATCATATTTATACAAGGATCGCGAATAATCATAATGTGTAGTACTTACAATTTTTCTAACTCATTCAGGGACTTTTAATGATGGTAAGTTTGAATTGCAATTAAGTTTGTTTAGATCGAAGCCCGGGGGCAGGGGCAACGTCAATGAGGCGCGACTGATGGTTTTCTTGGAAATACGGATAAATGGATAGAATAGAAGCAACAACCAGTCATCCCAGTGGAGTATAAATACGTACAACTGCAAATAGCCCCCATCCTCGTTTTCCAGTTTCCACAGATTCAAATGCCAGCCCTGTGTTTCCGAAATAAGCAGAGATTCAAATGCCAAGACACGTATTCTCTTCCGGTCAAATGCACTCCCCGGATTTGATTCCCGACTTGCCCCACGATCTCGCACTCGAATGCCTCTCCCGCCTGCATTTCTCCGTTTACCCGCTCGCTTCCCGTGTCTCCCCTCACTGGCGTCACCTCCTCCACAGCCATTTCTTCTACCGCCACAGGAAGAAATCCGGCCGCACTCGTAACCTCGCCTGTTTGATTCAGGCTCTTCCTCCTCAGTATTTAGCCCAGGATCTCAAGCTGACCTCCTCGCCTCCTTATGGCATCACCGTCTTCGACCCGCTCAGCCTTACCTGGGAACGTCTCCCTCCTGTTCCCGATTTCCCTCTCGGGCTGCCTCTCTTCTGTCAAACCGCCAGCTCCCGAGGGAAGCTGGTGCTCATGGGAGGCTGGGACCCTGTGAGTTACCAGCCCCTGACCGACGTGTTCGTTTACGATTTCAGGACGAGTCAGTGGAGGAGAGGGAAGGAGATGCCGTCCAGGCGGTCATTCTTCGCCATCGGATCCTGCGGCGATCGGGTTTACGTGGCGGGAGGACACGACGAGAACAAGAATGCGCTCAAAACGGCGTCGGTTTACGACGTGGTCGAGAACGAGTGGTCGGAGTTGCCGCCGATGAGTCAAGAACGGGACGAGTGCGAAGGGAGGGTGGTCGGGGAGGAGTTCTGGGTGATCAGCGGGTATCCGACGGAGCAGCAAGGGATGTTCGAAGGGTCGGCGGACGCGTACGAATTCCGGTCGGGTCAGTGGAGGCGGGTGGAAGGGGTCTGGAAAGCGGGTCGGTGTCCGAGGTCGTGCGTAGGGGTGGGGAGGGACGGGACATTGGTGAGTTGGGGCGAGCTAGAGTCGGAGCCCCGAGTTGGGGTATGCGGGGTGATGCTGGGTTCAACGACGATGGTGATTGGATCGGAGTACCAAGGGGGCCAGCACGGGTTCTACTTGCAAGAAGGGCAGAATTGTAAATTGAGGAATATTATTGTACCTGATGATTTTTCTGGTTTTGTTCAGTCAGGGTGCTGTGTTGAGATCTAAGGAGTGTTTGGATAAAAACCAAACCATAGTTTCAGAAGTGTTTTTACGGTTTACGAAGTAAATAAATAGAGGAATTTGTCTCGCTTTGCATAAAAGTGTTTTTGAAACCATGGTTTGAAGGTTGCCAAACACCCCTATGATTTTTTTTTTGGGTGAAGTAATATCGATTTTTTTTTTTTGGCTTCGGCAGAGTTGTATGCCTAGTCAATAGTATTATATGTACAACATTCAATGACTTGATATATATACACACACGCACACGCGCATAGTATTATATGTACAAAATACAATGACTTGATACACACGCGCGCACACGCATGCATGTGATGGCAAAAGATATGTATATATTGTTCCAAAAAAGATATATATAAAAAGCTCACCAGAAAAAAAGATATAAATATATATATATATATATATATATGATCTACTTTCTCTAATCCTTAGTATAAAAGTTTGTTTGATTTTTATTTTGATCTTAAATATAAGATTTTTAATCTATTTTGTTTTTCCTATTTATTTATTTTTTAAGGTAGTTCTTGTAATAATGGTAGTTATAACTAATATACTTAATTAATAAAGATATTTTAGAAAAGATAACATATGTTTATTACAAATAAATAACTAAAGTATTTTTTTAATTTATTTTAATTAGTCAACTAATTCTTATATTAAGAACGGGATAATATATAAGTAGGAGATGAAGTACGTTTGACTATGAGAATCCGACACAGACTTTAAGCGGAAAGACGAAGAACACTATTATTATTATTATTATTATTCCAACATTTTAGTGTTGAGAGGATGCAAATCTAACGATCCGAAAAAGATCAGGGCAGTTTTAGACAAGTGCCAGCTTCAATTGGATTTGAGTTGATGTTATAATATCTAACCTCCAATAAAAAAAATTAAATATTAAAATTAACTACCACTATTGCGCAAATAATTTATTTAAGCAAGTCACACAATTCTTATGGATAATGGTCGAAAGAATTATGTCAACACATTTGTGAGCAGCGATCGTGATTTTCTCATTTCAGAAATTCAAAAATTAAAAATACATGAGTAACTACATTTCCTGACATTGATAACTGTAGCCCAACAAAACCCAAGACATTTTATCCAAGCTTAGCTGATCCTTCGTGTCCTTTACGTAATTAAGTACGACCAAAATTGTCAAGCCCGAAGAGCTATGACGGGAGTTTGGATTTGTTTATCAGCAGCGATAAATTACACTTGACACTTGCCTCTTACATTCATTGGATGCCCGCCGATATTTGAGAGGATGGCGCAGAAAATCTTCCACCTATGCTTACTTTTCTTAATGACGATCTTTCTCAGCTCCAATCACGTACAGAAGAATCTAGTTTCGTTGTCCGCAACGTAACATATCACCATCCACTTGCCCCCCAAAAAATAAAAAATCACCACCCTAAAGTTGCAACATGGAACAAAAGAGGATGCATAATTTCTGAAGCTGGGCACCAGAGGAGGAGGGAAAACTTGATATTTGATAGTGTATAAAGTCGCATTGTACAATGGGGATCTCTCATTATATGTTCAAAAAAAATGGGCATCACAAATGCATATATGCATGTATCTATGTATGTAAATTGGCTTCTCAACTCAAAAAAAGTAAATGATACACTCAGCTTCTTTCATAGAATAAGATGTAAGCCTCACAGGCAAGAACTTCTTTAAGGGAAACTTGACGCACATAGGCATCACTTGCATGATACCATGTGCAATTCTCACTCATTTCATCGGCCTCTTTGTTCCCCTGACCCCCTCGTACATAGGCAACGTAGTGACCCCCTCTAATTGTTCCCGAGTGCTCCACCACGCCCACCAACCGGTATTCATGATTCTCTTCACTCATGCACCTGTTTTTTCAGCCAACAAAAGAAATGGTTGCTTTCAATCATTAACCTGATTACAGTTCTCGGGGTGTGGAGCTCAACCAAATGTATACTTCATAAGGCACCTTGACATGTAAATTACATATGTTCTACCATCACATTTTCATGGCAAGGTATTCACTAATCTGGTTCCATGACAATAATGCACAACCAAATGCAAGCCTCGCTTTCGAACCCTAGAGAACCTAATCACGGCTGCCCAACAGATGCACGCCCCACAACTTGAACTTTGCACAAGAAATTAACAAACCACCCCCCCAATAGGAAATAAAGAAAATTCAATCATACGTAAACAACTAGGAAAATAATCAATAACAACATTCCCAATATCGCAAAACTACAGGCAGTCAAAGTAGAACTGAGCAGGTCAATCTCTTGTCCAACATGAAGAGAGAATGGACAACTTTGTCGCACTTCAAAATTCTCCGTTTTGTTTTAGCTTCTCTTTGCGAGGATGTCTCATCCTTCATTGTACTTTTCCATTATTCTCTACAATAAAGTTTCTTCTTTTGTCCAAGATAACAATAATTTTACAAGGAAAATAGATTATTTCCAAAATTATCTCATGATCCGAGCAAACTTAATACTTGCAATGATTACACTAGATTGAATCAGATTATATCAAGAACAAGCAAAACAAAAGAAACCATGCAGCTCATTATGCCCATAGTAAAAGTACAAAGTTTAGAGTTCAAACAAAATCTAGTATAGTTCAGATAAGTACCTTGGATCCATATATGGTCTGAGATCAATTGTTTCCTTAAAACTGACATGGCCACTTAGTTTACTTAGGCGGCCTCGAATGTCTTGGCTGAACCTCTTCAAATGAATAGTTAGAACAGGCGGTGCTTTATAAATAAGAACCCTCTTGGTTGCATTCCTCTTCACTTTCATACTTTTGGTGTCCACCTTTTCATCTTTAGTGACTCCCGAGCCCCGGTTTTCATGATTCAATAGCTGGGAATTTCTTTCCTGTATATCTCCAGTTGCATGCTGTATGCTACAAGAATCAGCAGCTATACCAATTTCTTCATTGCAAGTTTTGCGAAAACCTGAAGATTCACCATCATGTATATCTCTCTTCTTAACCGTCTCATCTTCCCCCTTATTATCAACTGTACTCAACTCATCCATTTGACCATTTTCTAACTCTCTGCAATGTTTAACATCTGAAACCGAACTGTCTCTAACTTCGTCATTTTTAGCATTACCATTACTTACACCTCCGACCTTGGCAGAACAAGAATTAGTTATATGCAGGGGGTCAGCATCATTTACAGTCTCTTCTCCATTTAATACCTTGCTTTTCTGCATTTTTGCTTCCAATTTCTCATGTTGCAGAATTTTTGAACAGTTCTCACAATGCCACGCATTTTCATTTGAGAGAAGCTCAGGTTTTATAAAATGAGCCAAGCAACTATCTACAGAGACTGGAGAATCTGCATCATCTACTTCATCTGGATCAGACTCACTGCTGTTTCCAGCATTAAAACCTGCTTCAACTTCATTATTCGAAGGTCTAGGAGCAGGGCCTGCAACAACTTCAGGTTCATCAAATAAGCCCCCAAAGCCATCAAATCCCAGGTCTTCTTGTCCACAGCCCAAAACTGTTGAGGATGCTTCACCATCTCCCCCTGTGATCTCCCCCGCAGAAGAAATTTCTTCTTTATATGGAAGCAACAGCACTTCTGTATCTTGAACTTGTAACGGAACCTCATCTTCCCACCCATTCCTTGAAGAAGAATCTAGCCTAAGGTTTTGCATCTCATCAGGGAAATAAATCTGACTACTAGATTCACAGCTAGTCTGTGCAGGGAATTCTTTTGACGATTCCTCCTTGCTGTCATCATCCTGTATCACAGCAACATCCATCTTCTTGGAAAAGAACCCACTTTCATCTGTCATGGTTCCAGCTTCCACATAATCCAACCATGTAAAATCACCTGACGAAGTTGATGCTTTCCCTGTACCATTCTCAAGGACTTGAGCATGTCCAGAGTCTTGAGCAGTTATTAAATTGGGTGAACTTGAGGCCTCATATTCAGCAGGGCTGCTTTTATTCACAGGACCAAATACTGTAGATTCCCCAGAACAAGCCGCCACCTCTTCACCAGCTGATATGCTAGATTTCACAGGGCAGGATGATTCATCACTTGATAGTTGGGTTGCCAAATTTTGAACGGGCAAGGGACTGGCATCTCTATTGACTTTCACCCGAGTCTTCCCACCTTTCTTGTGTGGGAACTTTGCTTTCTTGGATCGAGATGCTAATTGGGCCTTCTTGGGTGGAGATTTTTTAGAAGGAACGGGCAGTGAGAGATCCAGAAAAGGTTCATGCACAACTGAGGAATGCCCGCATTCAATGCAACATACAGTACTTGATAATTGACCCCCAAATAGAGCATCCACTAGAGTAGTCACAGTGGAAAAGATTCCATCTTTCTCAGGAGCATCCTTCTGTTTTCTTGCAGCTAGTTCTTCAGAACCCAGCCCATCTAGTAAGCAACATAGCAATTCATGACTGTCATGCTGTTGATATCCTCGAAATTGGGGAGACTTTGAGCATACACAACCAAAAAATGATCTAGGATTTATAATGCTTTTCAATCCTGAGTCTGGGTTTGTTTCAACAAATAACTTTTTCAAGGAACTAGTCAAAGGCCCAGAAGGAGCATCTAGCTTTAGAAAGTCATCTCGCAACTTATTCAAAGCTAGGAGATTTTGCATGACTGAATTAAAGAAGCAAGTATTACCAAGATTAGTCATACCTCTGACTACATAACCTGCTTTCCCGTATGAATCGCCTGCCAGAGAAGTTCCTGATTTAATCTCAGTAGTGATGCTGCCATTCCCAAACCACAAATCCTCAACATCTGCTGATGATTGGTCTGATGGTCGTGCTCTCAACAGTGTCATAACATCAGAAAGAACATGATTTTTTTCATCATTCTGCTCAGTTTTCTCAGCAGTGACAAACATATCGCAAACAAAACACCAGCACAGCTGGGGCTTCTCAGAATTGACCACCAAGGGGTGCTGACTTTGTCTGGCGTGTTTGATTGCATGGCATTGAGGGGTTTTTGGAAGCCCAACACCTCCGCATGTATATTGACCACACTCTAGACAAATCCATATAGCTTTTGATTCAGACTTTGAATCCACTAAAGCAGTGCCTTTCTTATTCCCACGTTTACCTTTTTTTTTATTTCCCTTCCGATCTGCGGCACTTTCCCTACAATCTTCACACTTTATGCCTGTGGATCCAGAAGACCCAATCTTTCCAGATAATTTAGTTATATTAACATTGTTTTTGAGATGAGGACAATATTTTATCTCTTTTACAGGTGAAACTGCATCATTGACTGACTCAACAGTTGGGTTGTACGACTGGACAACTTTTTTTGGGGTATTGGTAGCATCACGCTTACCCTTAGTAGAACCTTGTCTCTTGTTTCTAACTCTTTTACCCATCAATTCCTGTAATTTAAACACAATCAGTGAAGCCTGCCTAAATAAACTTATTGTCAACAGTCAAAATTTTAGATAACAAATCCCTCTCGCAACAAACAAGACTTTTCTTACTTGTTACTATGCATGATAAAATCCATTAGGCATGCATTTATACATTACAACTAGGAATCAAACTAACAAAAAATACACAATAGCATCCTCTTTCTACAGATAGCAGAGGCTTGTTGTTGTGAAAAAAGTCGGATTTTCACAGAACATAATAGCGTAACAGCATCCTCATTATTGTTTGCCGCCAAATGCCAATCATATCATCATCTTATGAGGTCACAGAACCAAAAAAGATAGGTGATGCTCATGATGTCACATGTAGAGTCTACTTGAAAGGATGCTAGCAGTGATGCCTATCAAAAAGATACATGAAGCAATGGTATAGGCTGGACAACTTCCAAGTTTTGAGTCTGACATTGTTTCATCAATGAATATAAGAAACAATGTGACTATAAATATTTTTTCTGCAATAAAACATGACCAGAAAATTACTTAGCAATTTTTTTTTTTGGGATAGCAAAATGAGGGCAAAGGTCCAAAGAACTCATTGGTAAATGTTGCTAGACACTAAATTGATCCTAGGATTCCTACTCGATGCAGAGGTATTATTAAACGTTTCATGTACACTTGATTCAAAATCAATTTGATATATATGGTTTAAAGTGTGTCACCCTTATGTCACCACTAAACTACTTTATTTTTTTTAATTTCGAATTTTGATAAAAACAATCACATAAATGTTAAAAACCCAAAAAGTTTCATATATTAACAATTTCATAATGGTCAAAGATTAATACTATGATTACGCAGACAATTCCAATTCTCAAATATCCGATTAATCGCAAAAATGACGTCAAGAGACTAATATCATTCAAGGTATGAGCAAAGGTGCTTTAACAGTCATATGAGTATTCCGCCGGAAAAAACAAAACCATGACAATGTTAGGCGAAAATTAAACAGACCATCCCTTCCTCCAAAAAAGAAGACAAACAAACTAAAGAAGGTTTAATGCGAGCTTTGAAACACGAGAGACATTAACTTAGAGGGAATCTATTGAGTATCAACTGTAATATACCCTTTAAAACAGGATGATTTTTTTACATGGTATCTGCGCTCCTAGCCAAGGACTCTTTTCAATAGTAATAACTTAGGAAATAAAGCCAGTCAATACAAAAGCATGGGAACTGGATTAAGACCACATGCAAAACTTGAAAGCTTCAGATCGAGCAAGTGCGACCGAGCAAATTTTACCAGTTTTAAAGTAGAGAGACAAATTTTAAACACCCGGCCCCGGGGGGGGGGGGAGCTGTTTACCGTCATTTCTCAATTTCAGAAACAAGTAATCAAACAAGAGCAAGCTCCAAGCTACATTAAATCCAAAGCATCATCAAACTTCGACCATCAACAATGAGAAGCAAAAGCATCAGTCAAAAGAATAAATAAATAAAAAACTGCAGCAGATAAAATTCATCACCTCCGATATGACCGAACGGCATAGATATCAAAGAGATGATTTTTGTGGGTATCAAGAAAAATCAGTATTGCTCAAATTGTTCCGTCGGTGTCAACGCCAGCTTGAGTTGGCGAGCATCAACTCCCCCAAATGGGCGCCATAGAAGAGCTTATGAGATTTGAATCTGCAGATTGCGGGAGGGATGGGGGTCCAGAGGCGATGACAATTTGGGCTGCTCAGTTTTAATCCGAGAAAAATGATATATACCAGAGAGGAAGCTTCAACTGTGTTGCCATGGGGGTTGGAGGGGGTGAGAAAAGGGAGTGCAGAGGGGTCAAATAGATGAACCCCAGCGCACAGGGATGAAGTAGCCCACTAACCCTGTGTCACTGGCGATAATTTGCCAATAAATCGGGTCCCCCGATACGACCTCGCACCCATTTGCTCCCTCTTTTTCTCCGACCCAATGCTGCGCTTAGCTCTAAATTTAAAGAGAAATGTGTAAGTGCCCGTTTGGATTAGCGGTGAACAACTGATTTTAGATAATCGTGAATTTTATAAGTGATACTGGCTATAAGTGATACTGGTTAATCGTGATTTCTGTTTGGATATTTTTTTTATAAGTGATTTTAAGAATTGTGATTATGTTTGGTTTTTATTTATTAAAATCACTTATGGGTGTATCATTACTAAAAGGACATGAAGTTAATAATTGTTTACATTTTCATAATTATTATTTTAATAATAAATTTTATTAAATATAATTTAATAAATGACATGAATATTTAAATATTATTTTTATTTTAAAATTATTATTATTTAAAATCACTTACAAAATTTATGTGTAGTACAAATATTAATAAAAGACCCATATAAAATAAAAGATGAACGAAAATATTAAAAAAATTGATTAGCAATTTTAGTAACATAGATAAGGAATTGAATCTTCAATCAAAATTATAACTAAGAAATAAAATTTAAAGAAAAACAGTTTTCATATTGTATGTTTTTTTAAAAAAAAATTAAAGTAATTACCATTAGAGTGAGGGGTAGATTGGAGAAAATTTAGTTACTGAAAATTCATCGGGATTTTTCAAACGCATAAGCTATCTTTTGTTGCTTATCCTAAAGTGCGGTGAGAGGTTAAAATCACGATTCATCGGGATTCTATAAAAATTATCCAAACACCCTAACCATGCTTCATAAGCACTTATTTGAATTTAAACGGGCTTATTTGAGATCCCACCGCTTAACCAAACAAGCTCTAAGTTTCAATTTAAATTTGTTTTTTTTAATTTTTCTTTTAATTATTTAATCTCTTTTATTTGTTATATTTTTTCTTATTATATTTTCACACACATTTTCTTTTATCTTTTATCTTATTTAGTATAGGGACATACTTAAAACAAAATATATTTTTAACTTATTTATTATTCTTAACTAATTATTTGTTATCTGTAAATTAATTATTAAAGTTTGTTAAGTTAATTAGCTATTTGTAATAAATATGTATTATTTTTTGTAAAAATAAAATTTTTATAAATTTTATTACTTCAATTGAGAGCTTGTTCTTATGCACACCCTTATACACTTATCTGGAATTCAGTGGCCAAAAAAAAAAAAAGCTTACCTCCAATTCTGTAAATTAGGATTAAAGATTAAAAAGTTATTTTAAGATATTCCAAACAAACAAGCCTAGATCGTGTTGCCTTACAGCGATCAAGGTGTGAAGAGGAGGTAAAAAGGTGAAAAAAGAAGAGTGAGGGGAAGTGGTTTATAGTATCTACCATGATCGTGAAATCAGTGCTGTCTAAACTCAGTCACTTTGAACGCGACTGAAGTTTTGTTCATTTTGTTTGGTCCTCTTTTCAGTTTCTGAGTTGAGAAAACCCCTCTGAAACCCTCCTTCTCGTCATGGACTTCCAAGTGGTTGTTCTCGCTGGTGGTACCTCCCAACAAACTCCTTCCTCTCGTCTCCAAGGTACTCTCTTTATTAGTTTTTTTTCCCGCTTTTCGATGCTTCCTAAGATTTTCTTAGTCGCTAATATTCTGGAAATGATTCAGTTCTTTGACTGAACAAAATCCAATTCCTGAATTGGTATTCTTCTTCCTGATCCTACTTTTCCTAGCATGAAGTGGCTTTAGTGGATATCTTTTGGAAGTTCTTATCCCACGGCGGCTTTTTTTTTTTTTTTTTTGGCCCCCGAGTGCAGGAGGTTCCGAAACCTTTACTTCCTGTGGCGAACCGACCAGTTCTATCTTATGTTCTTGAGTTGTTGGAGCTCAGTAACCTTAAAAAGCTCATTGTGGTAAGAGGCTCTTTAATCAATCTGGTTTGTATCCATTATTTTTGTTTCCCATTTATGCTCCTGCTGGCGTCGAATATTCTACAGAGGGAGAAAAGGAAAAAGATCAGAGGACCGTTTGGTGATTTTGTCATCGTTGCCTGTAATGCAGTGACCGGCAAACTTAAAAGTTGCTGAGTCGTGATGAATCTTCGGTTCCTCGGCACAAAGGGCTATATCATTATGATAGTGCTATACATCCTGAATATTGATTGGAGTTTAGGTTATAATTCAGAATTCTTAATTCTCATTTGTCTAGGTAGTTGAAGGCGAAGAAGAAGCTCTTCATGTTGGTGGTTGGATATCAGGGGCTTATGTCGATCGTTTGAATGTTGAGGTAACCGTTGGATCCTTGCAGCAGTATATTATGAGCCATTATTCACCAAGCAACCGTGGCTTCCTCCCCTGCGTGAGGGATGCTGCTCAATAAAATCGACGACTATATGACTAAAGCGCCATATGCAAGGGATTTCATAAGTTTGGCATCCAATATTTGAAAGAAAATAATAATAATGATTTACTGCTGATGGCCATTAATTGGAATGAAACTTTAAAACTCTTGCACAGGGTGAGAATTATTCATTAAGGTTCGTACATAATAGGTTTAAATTAGATCCATTTATTTACCCTCTCAAATATTTCTTTCATTTTGGAATAAAACTAATATGATTACAAACCATCGCATAGCCTCTAAACGGAGCTGAGGAACCATATTATTAGCTTCAATGTGTATCAAAAGTACTTGTCTATTTGGAAATGGAGTGCTTGTAATCTGGAATGAGCTACGTAGAACCATTGGTAAGAGGTCATTAAACATAAACATGTGGGATGGCTTGAGCACCAGTGCAAATTGAAGCATAATTGTCATTATCATCCTAAGAAGTATAAACATTGATATGAACACAATAAAACATGGATATGACACTGCAAAGTGAAAAGTGTCAAAGCTGCTATATGAAGCGCTGCATCTTGTTTCATGATTGTGTCAAACAGAGTCAATTTTTTGACTTGTTTGTATTCTATAGTACATCTTATTAGTGCGGTTGATGTATTTTTGCGGTCATCTAATTATACCTTCAATGGTTTTGTATTGGTCTATAGAGGAATCCTCCATAAGAGATAACTAAGACCCTTTGCCTCATCTAATTATACCTTCAATGGGTTTCTCTTCGCCTCCGGAGCTTTGGTTGTTTTCAATTGATTGGATAAAAGGGAAAAACTTGGCTAACCTTTCTTCTTGATCGGTGCCTCTTTATTGAATAAAACTAATAGATACAACAAGTGATTATTTCTCCTTGGCGCTAAACTAGAAGGTGTATCTAGGTCATTTAGGTGATATTCTGGATTTTATGAGAGCAAATATATACTCATTGCCCCAGTACAGACCAGATATTTTTGTCCAAGGTGTGGAGGGTTTGATCTATTAACACTTGAGAATATGTGTGAGTTACCTTTTTAAAAAAATTTGAATGAGATTTCCTCCTGGAACACTGCAACTACTTATTGAAATATTTATTGGTGGTAAATGCATTAACATTTAAGTGCATGAGGAATGTAGATACATAGGCTGCCAATTTCATAATTCATAGATGTGGTTTTCTGCAGTCTTCTGTTGCTGAGTATTTCATGATGTCATTGTGGATGCGTTTTGGGCATGCATGTTTGCTCCATGTGAAGTCTGACGTTGACAAATTAGTCTCTTGTATGGTTACAATTTTGCTTGCAGGAACAAGTGTTTTCTGAGTAATGACTAAAGTTCCAAAAAAAAAAAAAAGTTACCAACACTAAATCATTATATGTACTTTGTATTAATACTAGCGTCACTTTTGGGTACTGAGGGAGATCAATAACCTTGCATTTGTCAGCAGTGGGTTTAAGCTTGTAACCTCATTTTCTTTTCATAAATTTATACTCCTTGACTCCTTGTACAGGTAATTAACCATTAACTGCCATGTCCCATGTCCCAGGTTGCTGCTGTTCCTGAGGATGTGGGAACAGCTGGTGCAATTCGGGCTATTGCGCACCACTTAACAGCTAAAGACATTTTGGTAAGTTCTTCTCTTCCTTATGCTTCAAGCTCTGAGGCCTGAACAAAATTAATCCTTATGTTATATAGATTATGGCTATGTTTTAATTTTCTGCAGGTTGTCAGCGGTGATCTTGTTTCTGATGTACCTCCTGGTGCCATTGCTGCTGCTCATAGAAGACATGATGCAGTGGTTACTGCAATGCTTTGCCCTGCTCCAGTAAGTGGATCTTCAGAGTCAGGCACCTCTGGTGGGAAAGACAAAACCAAGAAAGTTGGCCGCCATGACTTAATTGGGCTGGATCCCACAGCACAGTTTTTACTGTACATTTCAACTGGTTAGATCATTAGTTTTTCCTTAAATTTGTTTTTTACTTTATATGTTCCTCATGTGGAATCTTGAAACTTGTTCAGGAGCTGAATTGGGAAAAGATGTTCGAATTCAGAAGAGCATACTTCGAGCAGTTGGTCAGGTGTAGTTATTCGTTGCTATGTTTTCTTTATCTTCCCTTTAGCTTTGAATTATGCAATGTTAAATAAACGTCCTTTACCAATTGAGAAAATCATTTGTTTATGCTTAACTAATGTTTACTTCCACGCACATTTTTCCACTGTCTTGACATTTCTAATTCTGCATGTTGGCGAACATCATCATTGATTTTCTTTTTCGTCTGCCGAGATGAAAATTATATGCCTGTGCCAAACGCATTTAATTTGCTTCAGTTTAGTCATGGCATGAATGGTTTACACAAGAAGCAAATGGAGGCAAATTAAAACGTTCAAGGAGTACATAAAAATCGAATGTTAGGAGATATATTGAGAAAACAAGTTCTTTTGAGGACTGACATGACAGTTTCCTTCCTTTAGCTAATACTATATTGAATGATAAAGTATTTTTATGCTATTTTCTTCTCCACTTATTTTTTTTAAACTTTTTATCCTTTTTGTAGATGGAGATAAGAGCTGATCTTATGGATGCCCATTTGTATG